AGTCCTAGAGTCTATGAATCTATATACACATAAGACTACAAAGTCCATATATCAGGTTCTTAGCAGTGTCAGTGAGTTTGCTGGGGAACGCATCTACAGCTTGGATGGGTTGTTCAGTCCTTTATTCAATGCTTCAGTTTGTAGAGAAGTTGCTCTAGAGTTAGGAAGCGGGATTGAAGACAAAATGGAGATGATGAAGCTGCCCTTTATATTCCTTTTGCCATGTGACTTGTACTTCCTTTGTCCGAAACACAAGCTTCACAGCACATGGCACGGAAAAGCCTTAAAGTTCTCTGTCCACAGGCATACCACATGCTTTGCTGGCTCATAAGGTGTCTTCCCTGGTTCCTTTCAATGGGTTTATTGTACAGCTGATGACCCTGGATGGACTATCGAACAGGCTAGGCAGTACTCATGCCAATCTGTCTGGGGGTGTCACTCAGAAACACAGCACAAGTTTGGAAATACAGACATATCTGTAACTCATAATACAAAGGTGATACAAACATATAAACAAGATCATCACACTTGGCACATTCTAACATTTTTGCAGATACCTTGCACCACCTATCTGGTCAGATTCATTGCAATTTTATAATACCGGTATCAACACTATCACAATGTGTTCCACACATTCCATACGGCGTCACAGCTGGTATTCCAATCTGTGGAATACAACACACACACACTGGAATAAATTGCCCAGGGAGGTTGTGGAATCTCCATCATTGGGGATTTTTAAGAGCAGGTTGGACAAACACCTGTCAGGGATGGTCTAGATAATACTTAGTCCTGCCATGAGTGCAGGGGACTGGACTAGATGACCTCTCGAGGTCCCTTCCAGTTCGATGATTCTCATAGTCTTTCCTCGTATCTATTCTAGATTCATAGATTTTTAAAGCCAGAAGGGCCAATTAGGTCATCTAGTCTGATCTGCTGTATAATGTAGGCCAGAGAATTTCATCCACTTGCTGCGGTACTAAACTGAATACATTTTGTGTGACTAAAGCATCTTCCAGAAAGGCATCCAGTCTTGACTTGAAGAATTCAAGAGATGGAGAATCCACCACTTCCCTTGGTAATTTGTGAACTTTGCACCACCCTGGCTGACCTGTTCCTAGTGGCGATTGCCAGCTCCCGTGTTAGTGGGTGGGGGCAGAGTTAAGGTTGCATTGCAGGAATGGCATGTCCTTTAACTCTTCATTTCATGGTTTTCAGAGGTTTAAGTGTAGCCACTGTCCACATGCTGGAAGGGCACGAGGCAGCACTAGGCAACCGTAACTCTGCATTCATGAAGCTATGGTCACTTAATTTCCATGATTTTTTTTAATGGACTTTTCCCCCTCCCCCCATTATAACTGTGTGTATGCTAGATCGTTTCCTGGCATAGTCATGTCAGGGATTTGAAAAATCACACCCCTAACCAATCAAAATAGTTTTTCTGGGAAAACTTTTCTGTGCAGACCAGACCAGAGTCTGCATACTGGTCTTAGAGCACTTTGAAAAATATTTCTCTTAATCCAGAAATATTGTTATCAATACAAAACTTCCAAAGGAACTGCCACAGTATGAAAGAAAGCTGTCAGTGGTGAGGCTGAAACCGAAATGTATGGTGTAGCTTAGGTTCAAATGCCACAGCATGTCCCTTTGAGCCAACCAATTATTGTGAGAACAGATTGCTGGAACCCCTCGGGACCCAAGAGTTCTGAAGGAACTCAAATGTGAAATTGCAGAACTACTAACTGTAGTATGTAACCTATAATTTAAATCCGCTTCTGTACCCAATGACTGGAGGAGAGCTAACGTGATGCCAATTTTTAAAAAAAGGCTCCAGAGGCAATCCCGGCAATTACAGGCTGGTAAGCCTAACTTCAGTACCAGGCAAACTGGTTGAAACTATAATAAAGAACAGAATTATCAGACGCATAGATGTAAACGATTTGTTGGGGTAGAGTCAACATGGTTTTTGTAAAGGGAAATCACGCCTCACCATTCTACTAGAATTCTTTGAGGGGGTCGACAAGCATGTGGACAAGGGTGATCCAGTGGATAGAGTGTACTTAGATTTTCAGAGAACCTTTGACAAGGTCCCCGTCACAGGACAAGTACACCCTGTCCTCCTTTGGGGTGGGGCAAGGGTATCGCAGGCCCTGCGGTTAAGTTCATCTGCTTGCCTTCACTGTCAGGGCAGGAGGGGCTAATGGCCACAGTCAGTATGGCTGACCTCCTTAACACGGTTATGCGGCCTAGTGGTCAGAGTCGTGGAAGTGGGCCATCACCTGGGGGCAGGGGTTGGCGGCCAGGGTAGGGGGACCCGGGCCCTTCCTCCCCACAGGGTCCCAGCCCAGGGCCCTGGCAGTGGCAAGTGGCCGAAACACACTGACTCAAGATCTGGTTCACTAACTGGTCCACTGTCAAGTTACCCTGGGCTACTTCCTACCTTTTTCCCCGATGCTGTGGTCTGGACGTCTTCAGGGTCTCTGGGTTGCTCAGCCTGCACTGCCCCTGGTGGCTGCAGCCCCCCTTGGGCATCCACAGGTACCTGGGCATCTGCTGGGGTCTCGGCACCTCTGGATCTCGTGGTCTGGGATTCCAGCTGCTCCCAGGCTAGAGCCTTTGAGATGCATCCTCCCTCTATGGCCGTCCACCTACAATGAGCTGGGACGCTCCCTTTTATACTGCAGCAACTGTTGGCGCATGCCCAGCAGCGGTGAGGGGTGTGTGGCTTCCTCTGCCCAGAGTGTGGGCTTAACCCTTTCTTGTCAAGTGCGGGGCAAGTATACCCCATAACAGTCCCTCACCAAAGGCTCTTAAGCAAAGTAAGCTGTCATGGGATAAGATGGATGGTCCTCTCATGGATTGGTAACTGGTTAAAAGATAGGAAACAAAGGGTAGGAATAAATGGTCAGTTTTCAGAATGGAGAGAGGTAATTAGTGGTGTCCCCCAGGGATCTGTACTGGGACCAGTCCTATTCAACATATTCATAAATGATCTGGAAAAGGGGGTAAATGGTGAGAAGGCAAAATTTGCAGATGATACAAAACTACTCAAGGTAGTTAAGGCCCAGGCAGACTAAGAAGAGCTACAAAGGGATCTCACAAAACGGTGACTGGGGAACAAAACGGCAGATGAAATTCAATGTTTATAAATGCAAAGTAATGCACATTGGAAAACATAATCCCAACTGTACATATAAAATGATGGGGTCTAAATTAGCTGTTAACACTCAAGAAAGAGATCTTGGAGTCACTGTGGATAGTTCTCTGAAAACATCCACTCAATGTAC